ACGGCAATAAGACAAGTAATTTAGTTGCAAAATAATTTTAAATTTCATTTTCCATTTTCACAGCACTCACTATCATCAATTGCGCATCTAGCGCGGGCGCTCCTCTTCGCTTCTCATCTTCTTCCCTTCTGCTACTTCTTCTTCATTCCCTCTCTCTCGCTCATTTCGGTTTCCATTTTGCTCCTTGCTGGGAATTGACTTTTATGCCTTGGCATATCCTGCTTTATGCGAGTCCTTCGATGCATAAGCAAAACATCGATATCAGCACTTTGTGTAATTGTGCGCCTTATGAATGGCTCTGAAGCAGGCCGAGCTCGGCTCTGAAGTGGATTATCGGAGCTATTACATTATATACGAATAAACATAGAGAGCTATACTTAGATTTAATGTGAAAGCATCAAATTAATTATACTTTGAGTAGGTGAACACATTTTGTTTGCATTCTTTATAGAGTCAAGCTGTCTAATTTTATTTAATTATTTAAGAGCTGCATAAATAAAATATAAATATTAAAATAAAATATAATAAATATTATTTATATCACTTTTCTAACATTTTACAAGGCAATATTCATAATTTTATCGAGTAAACCCATATTATTTACTTATTTATTTTTTCCATTCTACAATATATTTGTTATTCATTTTTTACTTCATTTTTTATTTATTTATTTTACATATTTTTTATTTATTTATTTTACATATTTTTTATTTATTTATTTTACATATTTTCCAAAAATTTTTTTTTAATGAAATAAATATATTTTTATTTATGTTCTTTCCTTTATTTTACAAAGCAATATTCATTATTTTATCGAATGAATCCATTTAATTTTTTATTTATTTTTATTTATTTATTTGTTTTCTATTTTTCTTTTAATTCATTTTTTAAATATTTATAACCTTTTTTTAATTTATTTAATCTTTTAATAATGAATAAAATAAATGTAAATATATATTTATATGATTTTTTTATTTTTTATTTTAATTACAATATTTTTTTAGATAAAAGTTTATATTTTTATTAAGTAAATGAATATAATTTTTAATCCCTCCCAAAAATTTGTAAACATTTTCGATTGCAGTTGCCTTTAAGGCCACGCCCACCTAAGCCATTGCAAGTGCTTTGCCATCTAATTCCATTCTATATATGCGATTCCAATCGAAACATGCAAATGTTAAATTTCTAGTTAGATTTATTTATTTGTTATTAAATGGATTCTCCAAGTGGATTTGCTTTGCATGCTTGACTAGCGCAGGCCAACTAATTGCCAATGCTAATTAGAATGAAATACTAAGGATTAATAATTCTAATCAACTTTTCGAATAAACTACGAAAACTGTGAAAACTCTGAAAACTTTAAGAAACTTGCAAAAGAAACTTGCTCAAAAGACGCTTAACTCATGCATTTCCATAAACAGAATGTCAGGGAACTTTGGCAAACTTTGTTTAGCAATTGAATGTATGTATATGTGCATATATCTGTATATGTATATATATATAATTCCTTATATGCATGTGTATGCTTACCATGTTAAACGCCTCGAATTCGCATCGACTCGAATAATGCATTTAACTGGGCAACCCGCTGTCACACACGCCCCAAACGCCCCACAATAAACGCTCTAAATATTGAAATCGTTCAATATCTTTCAATAAAATATGTAGATGCTTCAATCAGTTTCAGTCTAACATGCCACACACACACCCACCCCGCCCTCCCCCCTTTCCCTTAGCCTACCAACCCACACCCTTTTGCCGTCGTCTCGGCCAACAAATTGACAGCGCGCCAGCTGAGTTTTACAGCGCAACGGCTTTTGGTTTCGGGTCAATGCCAATATTATTAGCCCCAAACCCAGCTCACGAATGTGTGTATGGGGGTGTGCGTATGTGCGTATGCGTGTGTGTGTGTGCATCATACAGTGGGACCTTTGCACATTGTAATTGTTAACCATGGGAACGAGCTAAATATACATATTTATTTTCATCAACATTTTTAATGAAAGGGAATTCTTCAGGCTTTCAAATGTTTATATTCAATTTATTTTTATTATTCATTTTATATGTACATATTATGTTGAATTTTTTTTACTCTTTGTTTTTTTTTTTTTTTTTAATTTAAATATTTTAATTCAATTTTTTTTTTTTTTTATTTTGTACAATTTGTATTTTTATGCTCATTATAATTAAATATTTATTTATTTTTATTATTTATTATTTATTTTATATGTATACTTATGTTGAATTTATTTTTATTACTTTGTGTTATTTAAATATTTTAATTTTATTTATAGTTCTGTTATTTATTTTATGTTGCATTGTCAATTTTGTATTCTTATCATTATTTTATTAATATTTAAATATACATATTCAATTTATTTTTATTATTTATTTTATATGTACATTTTATGTTGAATATTTTTTTACTCTGTTTTTTTTTTTTTTTTTCAATTTAAATATTTTAATTCTTTTAATTTTTTTGATTTTTTTTATTTTGTACAATTTTTATTTTTATGCTCATTATTATTAAATATTTGTTTATTTTTATTATTTATTATTTATTTTATATGTATACTTATGTTGAATTTATTTTTATAATTTGGTGTTATTTAAATATTTTAATTTTAGTTATAGTTTTGTTATTATTTTTTTTTGTACAATTTTTGTTTTTATATTTTTTTAAATAATTATGTTGTATATTTTTTACAACTTCTTTGTTTTATGTGTATTGTTATTATTATTTTATTTATTATTATTAATTTTGTATTCTTATCATTATTTAATAATACATATTTTATAATTACTTTTATTTAAGTTATATTAATTTTTATTATTAAAATTATTTTTTCTTATGTTATTTAAAATAAAATTTAATTCTCCGTCTACTTGGCCAATTGTTTGCAGAGAAATTTAAATTTATGGCACATTTGCCGCTATCCGCCCCACTGTGCATCGTCTACTTTCTGACACTTTGACATTTTTGCCAGAGCTAAAGATTTTTGGGGCAGGCGGAGGATTTCATTTAAATTTGCTGTCAACGCAATTACATGCTGTGCGTGTGTGTATGTGTGTGTGTGTGTGTGTCCCCTGCAGCAATGCAAAGTCTTTGGCTCGATTTCGATTGGCCGTATCGTGTCGGCACTCGACTTGCCTCATCTGATTTTATATTGATTCAATTTATTTGCGTTGAGTGCTCTACGCTCTACGCTCTACGCTCCATGCTTAGTGCTCTGTCTTAATGTCCGGCGGCCGCTGCCTTCATGAAACAGCAAACACTCACTGCCACGGCAATAAAACATTGAAACTCCCCCCACAGCCACGCCCACCAGCTCCCTAGACGCCTATCAGGTATATTGCCTCGCAGCGACATGCATAAAAATACATCAAGCGCCAACAATAAAATTAAGAAATTTTCAATTTATGCATGAGACACCTGACGAAGACGACGACAACAATGTGTGTGCGTGTGTGTGTGTGTGTGCCACGCCCATCAACAACAACCACATACTACATTCATTTGCGGTCTACCTGCTGTAGCTTGTTAGGCACTTTTATTGCCCCGCCCGCTTAATTATTTCTGCAACAGATGCCGGAGTTGAGAATCGGAGAGGAGAGAGAGAGAGAGACAGAGAGAGAGAGAGGGAGATTTCCCCTCAGATATGGAGCACGGCGTATGGCATATGACTGATGATACGATCCAATCAGATGTCGACTGCATGCATTCCAATTAGAATAATGACGATGTGCGAACATCCCACAGAAGAGCGGGGACTGACTGACTCACTAAACAAAAGCGAAACGTCAATCTCTTTGAGTTTGCTCGAGTTGAGCAAAAGTTTGTGGAAGTTGTGTAAGGGAAAAATTAGATATTATATATTTCATATGGGAGCATGAAATAGGATTTCTTTTGACAGTCTTTAAAACATATACACATATCTGGGAATACACATATCTGTTTGTTCTCAAGAGGCTTTAAGGAAACATTTAAAACTTATGAGCAACGGTTAAGGCTGTGCCAAATATTATATTGATATATCTATGTACATATGTTATACTTGTGCTACTTATGCTAAGCTCTTTCCCTATATATTCATCTCTTTAAATGCTCTCCGCTGTCTCTTAGCTTTCATAGCCTTCTTTATTTTATTTTTATTCGTTCACTTCCCCATCTCTTCTTCCAGCTCTCGCGCTCTCGTTTACTACTTCTGTTTCGCTCTCAAGTGCATTCTGCTGTCTTTCGTCTTTTCTTTATCTTCCTCTCTCTAGCTAGTTCATTCTCTCTCTCTCTCTCTCTAGCTTCATCTCCGTCACCCTCTCTCTCTCTCTCTCTCTCTCTCTTTCTCTCTCTCTCTCTCTCTCTCTAGATTTTCCTCTGTCTTCTTATGTTTCTCACTATATTTTTCTCCTTTTCCTTCTCTATCTGTCCTATTCTTTTTTCACTGTATATTTTTTCTCTCAGTCTTTCCATTAGTTGTCCGCTCTTTGCCTCTATTAACTCATCTATATCGCTCTCTATCGCTCTATTTATACATTTCTTCCATCAATCTCTCCCTCTAGTTCTCCCTCTCTCTCTCTCTCTCTCTCTCTCTCTCTCTCTCTCTATTTCTCTCTCTCTTTCTCCCTTTCTATCGCTCTATATCTCCCTATCTTTATCTCTCTCTCTCTTTCTTTCTCTCCGGGTTTCTCTCTCTCTATCTGAGATATACTCTCATCTTCTCACTTACATCTCCCTTCTCTTTCCCTTCTATTCTCACTTTTGTTTTGCTTCCACGTTTGTAATTTCCTTCTTTCTCTCTTTTAAATCAAATCTTCTATATTCCCGTCTCTTTCTCCTCTCTTCTCTCTCCTTCATTCTGTCTTTCAGATGCTAACCCTGTCTAGCTAACCCTGTCTAGCTCTCTCTCCCTCTCTCTCTCTCTCTCTCTCTCTCTCCCTGTCTCTCGCTCGCTCTATCTCTTTCACTGTCTAATCACCTCTCCGCTCTCTCTCACATTTTCCAGGCTATGGCAACATCGCACCTCGCACAGCGCTCGGCAGGATCGTAACGATGGCTTACGCCTTCTTTGGCATCCCCTTGACGCTCGTCTACCTGAGCAGCACCGGCAGCATTCTGGCCAAGGTGGCGCGTGAGGTGTTCTCGAAGGCGCTGTGCTGCTGCCTGTGCTCCAACTGCGGCTACTGCTGCTACGACGAGAAGCGCATGGCCGAGAAGGAGCGCCGGATGAAGCGCAAGCGGCAGCAGGAGGAGCTGCGCAAGCAGCAGGCCGTCATGCAGGAGCCGTACTATGTGCGCGACGTTTACCATGCCACGCCCGAGAAGCAACCGCCACCAGGAGGCGGTGGCGGCGGTGGAGGAGCCGGTGGCGGAGCTAGCGCTGGCGTTGGCGTTGGCGCTGCTGCCACCTCCACTGGCGGCACACCCACTGGCATACCGGGCCTGGGCATGGCCGCAGCACCGCCCTCTGGCGGCACAAACGGCACGGACATCGATTCGCTGAGCGCCAGCGAGTCGCGCGGCTCAATGCACGGCCTGAGCATCCTGGCACCCATTCTGCTCTGCTTCTCCATGATGATCATCTACATAGTGTTTGGAGCGGCGGTGCTCTACCGGCTGGAGAACTGGCCGATCATCGACGGCATCTACTTCTGCTTCATGAGCCTCTCGACCATCGGCTTTGGCGACATGCTGCCCGGACTGCGTCGCGACTCGAATGCCACCACCTGGTTCTGCTCGGTGTACATCATGTCCGGTATGACGTTGACGGCGATGTGCTTCAATGTCATCCACGAGGAGATCGTCCATCGCATACGCATCGTGGTCGAGTTCAAGAAGGCGGGCAGCGCCGCTGCTGTCGGCGCCGCCGGCTCCATGCTGGATGTCTCGCACGAGGATGGCAATCAGTACTATATGCCCGCCTCCTGACACTATGAGAAGCGCGGCCATCTCTATCAGCGCAATCCCACCGAGGAGACACTGGTGACAGGTCAGCTCCATTGAATTTTCCACTAGCTTTCGAGCAATCCTTATAATGAATGAATTGTGTTCAACTGTTCGTCTGCAGACACGCCCACTTCGCTGGTGCTAAAGGATTATGTGAACCACGAGCTGGTGCCCATACTGACCATGGATCCGAACGGCTCACGCCTGGGCCTGGCCCAGCCGGCGCCCGTCTATGCGAATCAAACGGACAACACGCTCGGCAGCCCGCTGCTCGACGGACAGATCAAGCCCGGCGTCTACACGCTGGCCGAGGAAACGGAGCTCGAGCTGCAGGCCGTCCACACGGACACGCAAGTGGAGCGCGTCTAAAGGACGCGCCCAGGCCGACCTTAGCGCTTAGGTTTAGTTCTTAGTCCTTAGCCAAGTCAGTTTAATGTGTACAATTACCAATACTAACGTATTTTTTTTTTGTCTAGTATGTGTGTGAGTGTGCGTGTGAGTGTGTGTGTGTGTGTGGGCCATGCCCGGATAAATAACGAAAAAGAAAATTCAGAAAAACCAAATGCCTAGCCCTAAGTTTGACTATCATTGTATATACGAAAGATGGAGAGCGAGAGAGAGAGAGAGAGAGAGAGAGAGAGAGCAAGAAAGAGAGAGATAGAACGATTTAGAGACGTGTAGACGTGAAAGCGAGCGAGAGAGAAGTAGTTTTAGCCTTAGCTAGAGCGAGACGGCACGCGACGAGAGGAGACGTAAACATTTCCGTAGCCTGTAAGCCCAGTAAACTGAATAGAGAGCAGCCACTAGGTGTGCTACATACAGTAATTAGTCAATGTAGTGAACAAGAAGAAGAACAAAACAAAACAAAAGCAAAACAAAATCAAAGAACAACAAAAAAAAATAGAATATATGAATCCATATTTATAGGAGCACTTTGAACGCGATGTTTATGCGATGAATTTCGTGATGTCTTTCCTTTTGCCAGCTGTAGATGTCGGCTTCTTCTTCAGCTTTAGCTTAAGCTTGAGCTTGAACTTTTTTCCTTCGGCCGGTCTGGCAACACTACGCAACGTAACTGTACAGTCGGCGTTAAGTTGGCTGCGCCGGCGCCTGGTAAAATGTGTTTTTCCATAGAGACTAAATTCAAATTGATGTATTTATGAAAAGCTCTGTATGTATGCACATCAATGTATGTCGTTATGTATTTATATATATGCAATGATGTATGTATGTATGCATTGTGCGTATGTATGTACACTTTTTCTCTGTAAGCGCCACATCAAACTTGAAGAAAAATCCATAAGAGCATAAACTACTGTAGATATATTTATATACGCTATAAATATATTTATATGCATACATATGAATAATGAATAAAATATCGTGTAAGATCTTTCAACTTGCATAGAAATGCCCTTAAAGCATAAACATCCAACATTTTATACGTAAAGTCAAGCTTACATAATTAATACTACTAATACCAAAAATAAACAGAAAAACCAAAAAAATAAATAAATAAAATGAAATAAAAAAAAATAATACAACAAAAATTTAATAATATATTCCGAAAAAAAAGCAAAAATTAGCAAAACTATGCGATATATATATATTATATATAAATATAGATAAATGTTGTTTTTTTTTTTTTTTTTAATTGTAAATGTAAAAGCTAACATAAAACCCCAAAAAAGAAGACGAAAAATGAGAAAAATATGCATATTATCAATGAATTTAAATTCATAAAACTTAAATAACGTTTAAAACTCGATAACTTTGTAAATTGAATGCATGTTTGAATGTACCCGATTGTATATTTAAAACAAAACAAAACCAAAAACAAAACCAAAAAACAATGCATAAATAAAACTTAAATAAGTAAAGATGTTAAAGTGCTGGCGTGTTCTGATTTTGTTACTACACTGTTACCACACCAATATTCACTTCAATTATTTTCGAATATATTTGTGAAGCTATTTATTTATATTTATATAAATATACAGATAACATTTCATGGCGCCACCTATGGTAATTGATTCAGACACACTTCATTGTTGTGTTAGCGCCACCTATTGTTCATCTCATTAAAGACCACATATTGGCACTGCTCCGTTGTGCTGGCGACAGCTCTTGTTCATCCCATTGAAGGCCTTGCACAAACGATGCGCTGTTATGCTAGCGCTATTTTTCAGCAGCTTTTATTTTTAATAACATGTTTATTATGTTTTCATCATATTTGCAGTCTCCAGTATATGTATGTGGATACATGAATATATAAATAAGAATTCATCTATGACATTTAGAATAAGCCAAATACTAGCACATTATGCAGCTCTGACGCCAACGATCAGTTGGCGCCATCTATGTATGCTAGCTGGCTAAGCAGGAATAACGCCCTCTGTCACAGTGTGGCCCAATATTGCATCAGGTGCTTTGGCGCGAAATTCGAAAAAAAAATGGGAACAATTTTTTGCATGGCTCGAATGTTTGCCCGACTAATTGAATATAAACAGGTGTGTGAATTTGTTATTAACGCTGTTTAGCAACAATTATGAGTCGGATCGAGCTAAAAGCGTTCACACTCCAGTTTCCAGTTGGCCGGCAGGCCAAACAAACGACGCCATCGATTTGTTATTAACAATTTAACCTTCAGCAAATTATCATTAATATGTGAGTGCTAGCGATTTGTTTATTCGATTGCGTTTCTTGGTTTTTGTTGTTACTGTTTTTTTTTTTCACTTTGTGTACGGTTTCGTTTTCCATTACAAATTTGTGATAAGCAAAACGATTTCGTATGTATGTACATACATATATTTCGTATATGTATGTATGAATGTATGTATGCATGTATGTATGTATGTATGTTCATATGTATGTATTACATGTGCTGCAAGCGAAATATTTACAAATTATTTCAAGAATCTCTACAGCAAAATAAAGAAGTTGGGAAATTTCTTTTAGTTGATATGAGCTGTATGTACATCCATGCATATGTATATGTACATAAACATATGTATGTATATACATATATATCTACATATACATATGCATGCATACAATTGTATGTTTGCGTGTACATCCATAGATAATCGACGCAGATGCTGTTCGTTGCAGTCGCTGCCGAAAAGTGGCTGGCCTTACACTTACTTACATACATACACACATACATACATATGTATGTATGTACATACTTCAATACATACTAACATACCTACATACATATGTACATATCCAACCATGTACATATATCTATACATATGCGTAATTACACACGCACATACATACATACATACACACATGTATTGTTTTTGTTATTTTGCATGTTTGTACGCACAACAAACTTGTATTTAAAAACAACAACAGAAATACACTCGGATCATGCTGAAAAAATGCGTAAATACAGATATACACAAAAATATATACATATACATATATATTCCATACATACATGTTTGGATGTATATCACTTCTGCTGCTTGTTCTTACACAACGTACACATACAGTATGTATGTACATACATATGTATGTAGGCATGACCTCTCTTCCCCAGCCGTTGCCTGACTCTCTCATGATCCACCGGCATACGAGCGCGCGCACACACACACACATACATACATAGAAGACTAAAAGAATAGTGTGCGTGTGTTTTGTTGTTGCGTGCAGCTCTCTCACATGCGAAATGCGCACTAATTGAGGCAGCACGTCGCCAAATACAAAAAAGAGACAACAACAACAACCACCAAATTATTTCAAACGGATTTTCATAGCTTTGTTTGTAAGCAACAGTTTGACAGAGTTGTAAGAATGTACATACATACATACATGTATGTATGTATCTATGGGTATGTAGAAAATGTCACATTTAGATTACTAAAAAGATAATGTACTATTACACAAAGTAAACAAAATGAATTACTGTTGTTGGAATAAATCAATCAAGCTAAGCACTCCAAGCAAAATACCGTGCTGAGCATAGCCAATGTAAACGGGATCGGTTTTTTTGCGTCTGTTGACATTGCGATGCCGCAAGAGCGCAAACCATGAAAGAGCAATTGAATGCTTAAGAGCGGCAGTGAACAAGAGCAATGGAGAGAGACGAGAGAGAGAGAGAGAGAGATCAAACGTTGGTGCCTTACGGTTGGGTATTGTATTTGTGTGTGTTTGTTTGCATTGTTGTCGTGTTGTACGCTGTTGCTTTATTTTATTGCTTTTTATTAATCACTTGTACATTTGTTATTCAACTATTTAGCTGGTTAGATGGAGAAGAAAACAAAAAGAACAAAAGCAACAACGACGTCGACGATATCATGGCCAATACCTGGGAACACTTGCTCGTCTCAGCATTGAGCAAAATATATCAAACTCCATGGCACAAACAAAAACAAATGACAACGAAGAGCGATGACAGAGTAAACCAAAAAGAACACACACAAAACGAATAAAATGTGAAAAAAAAAAACAACAAAAAAACTACTTTATAACGACAATTGGAGTCGCTAACAGAAATCGGTTTGAAAATAAAAATAGGAAAAAAAAAGATTAAATTGCTGCAATTTTTGTTTTGCCTATTTTTACACACTTTTTCGTGCTCTCACAAATGCATCTACATACATGCAATATTCGTATTGTGTTGGCATGTGTATGTGTGTGCGTCTGTGCATTAACACATGTATTTAATGCAAACAAATTTAAAGTGTTCACCCACTGTCCGCCGCCCAACAACGCCCTTCGCTCGACCAAACCAGACACGCTGACAGCAACAACAAAAAACAAAACACGACATCGACAACACGACCTCACCGAGTCGCCGATTCTCTCAAAAAACATATGTATGTAGCACGATTTACAGTGGTTAACACACTGCTAAAGCTGTACGTGAAAAAAAAAATATATATATATACCTATGAACTTAATACAAAAAAAAAAATAAATAAATAAAAATAGACAATACAAATAGCCATGTCGATAGCCATTACAATTGCAATTACCATTCGCAAGTCGATTGTACCACAAACTCGTGACACTGTGCATCGCTCGAGCTGCTTCTAAAGCTTGTCAACGATTTTGGAGCGCTTTCTCTCTCTCTCTCTCTCTCTGTCTGGCTATGCTCTTTCTGTTCTGTTTACTTGACATCACTAGCTGCGCTAAGATTGTTTTTACAAATTTGGTTGTGCTTGCTTAATTTCTGTGTTCCTTGTATTCATCTTTTCTTGATGTGCGCGCTAGTAGCAGAAGTATATTACCTATGTATGTACATATGTCTCACCTTTTATATGCAGTGAGTGTGTGTGTGTGTGTGAGTGACTGACATGCACTGGCATGCACGTGTTTGCGCACACATATTGAACTTTCTATGCAAGGGACATGAAAATTTTTACATTCTTTATTATGACAATTCATATTATTTTACAAACAAAATTCACTTACATACATATGTATATATTTATTTATCCATCAATGACCTATTTCTACAAAAATTGTTTGTGAAGCGTTTCAATTAATTATGTACATATGTAAATACATACATATGTATGTATGTGAGTAAAACCTCTTGCATAAATGCATACATACATGTGTATGTATGTATATAGGGTATTTGACATTCGATGGTCCAGTGCTGATTGGGTTCTTACTTGATGTACATACATACGTACATAC